TATAGTTTGACTTATGAAGATGTAGTTTGTAATAGTTTGACATTATGGAGATGTAGTTTGTAATAGCTTGACATTGTGAAGATGTAGTTTGTAATAGCTTGAGATTGTGAAGATGTAGTTTGTAATAGTTTGACATTATGGAGATGTAGTTTGTAATAGTTTGACATTGTGGAGATGTAGTTTGTAATAGCTTGACATTGTGGAGATGTAGTTTGTAATAGTTTGACATTATGAAGATGTAGTTTGTAATAGTTTGACATTGTGAAGATGTAGTTTGTAACAGTTTGACATTATGGAGATGTAGTTTGTAATAGTTTGACATTGTGAAGATGAAGTTTGTAATAGTTTGACATTGTGAAGATGTAGTTTGTAATAGTTTGACATTGTGAAGATGTAGTTTGTAACAGTTTGACATTATGAAGATGTAGTTTGTAACAGTTTGACATTATGAAGATATAGTTTGTAATAGTTTGACATTATGGAGATGAAGTTTGTAATAGTTTGACATTGTGGAGATGTAGTTTGTAACAGTTTGACATTGTGAAGATGTAGTTTGTAATAGTTTGTAAAAGAGTAGAGCTCTGCATGTAGTTAAAATGTCATTTTGTTAATCAAACAGTATATTTGCTATAAGAACTGTGTAATTTTATTTTGATAAATCTATAGAAATAGAATTGACAATAAAGATACTGTAAAGATGAGTCAGTATTTTACATCAGAATACAAAGACACCTGAGTTTATGTCTATAACAGTAGTTTGAATAACTGATCTTGACTAAACCTGAATAGGATATAGACTAGAGGTAATATGGTATAAATAATGGGTGGTGAGAAAAAAACGTCAAAGATTCAGAAATGCTCTGTAATTGGGAACTTGAGCCAATATGGGTCCTAACTCTAAATCAAATATCACAGTCAGATTTTGTGGTAGAGGGTTGAAATAGATTGAAACCATCCACAGTGAATCTACCTGGCAGGTCAATTACAAAAGCACAATAATCAGTTATCATAACTTTAGGTTCAGGTAAACGGGGACCCTACTAAGTGCCCATTGCTTCCGGTATTCTTAAAGAATTTCACTGATCTCATTCTGACTGGCAACACTATACATGCAGTATTTAAAGGTATAAGATGAAGTTTGTAATAGCTTGACATTGTAAAGATGAGTCAAGGTATAAGATGAAGTTTGTAATAGCTTGACATTGGGAAGATGAGTAAAGGTATAAGATGAAGTTTGTAATAGCTTGACATTGGGAAGATGAGTAAAGGTATAAGATGAAGTTTGTAATAGCTTGACATTGGGAAGATGAGTCAAGGTATAAGATGAAGTTTGTAATAGCTTGACATTGGGAAGATGAGTAAAGGTATAAGATGAAGTTTGTAATAGCTTGACATTGGGAAGATGAGTAAAGGTATAAGATGAAGTTTGTAATAGCTTGACATTGGGAAGATGAGTCAAGGTATAAGACAAAGTTCGTAATAGCTTGACATTTTGAAGATGTATTTCAATATCTATTTGCTTTCTACATTGAAAATAAGAAAGTGATTTTTTTTGTGTCACCTTATTGAGCTGTAGACAGTTATATTGTGATGTATTATAAAAAAGGTATTTCAAGTCTGACTGGCTTGACAACCCAATATCATATTATATATATATATCTCCTATATACACCTTTACTATTCACTGAACTGTCAAATTATCTCTATAAACTATTACCTGTATTCCACTAGGTGTGGACCTGGTTTTATTGAGGTGTATTTATACTTAGTGCATATAACTTCATATTCTAACGTCAAGTGTCCTTCAGCTAACATTTTGGAAATTCATCACTGAAAAACTTTGTTGAAGATTTTGGATTTAAGGTACCATATTGTTATCTTTCGAACTTTCAATTTGTCTCTGTTGATGGATTATGTGTTTTGAATAATAGATTGGGATCAAACAGTAAAAATACCAAATAAGAATTATTAACTATATGGACTCTCTGAAAGGGATGTCAAGTTGACAAACCTAAATACCAAATAAACATTATTAGCTATGTGGACTCTCTGAAAGAAATGTCAGGTTGACAAACCTTAAACACCAAATACACATTATTAGCTATGTGAACTCTCTGAAAGAGATGTCAAGTTGACAAACCTGTATCTCCAATATAATTTTTTAGCTATGTGCACTCTCTGATGATGCTACTATACTTGTTAATTGGACTTTTAGAGACTCTACATAGCTATATATACTTTGTTTATTTTTTGTTAAACTTTCATTGGAGGTGCTGTTACCACTCTGTAACTGGGTGTGTCAGTTTTTGGGGAGTCCACATAGTTATATATTTAATGAGATTGTAAAGAGGTTTTCTAAAATGTGAATCAGGGACACTGATAGCAACGATTTCCACAATTCCAATTTTCAATCAAACGTCTGTGATCCTGCAATTCCACTAAAACTTAGTGTTTGATGATGTCACTAATCACTATACAAGCATATTTTGCGATTTTTGTGACATCATCAAACACTAAGTTTTAGTGGAATTGCAGAAACAAAAGACGTCTGACTGAAATTGAAATGGTCTGAAGTGATGCTATCAGTGTCCCTGATACACATAAAATTAAGAAAACCTCTTTACAATCTCTTTAATATTCTTTAGAAATGTGATGTAGGTTATATCTGGAGGTTATGGAATGAGATAACAACATATATACTCTATAACTATAATATAAACAACAAACCTTCTTATCATTCATACAACTTTCAACTTTCATATTCAAATATCTTAGAAACTTTGTATATAAAACCTGAGATATTATATAAGAAGTGGTGAGAAATTGAGTTGCTTGTTGTTAGAAATAGAATATATTGTACAAGGTTACATACTCGAGAAACTTGGTTTTTGTTTAATATACTACTAGTAGAAGATGTTTAAATTTCTTTAAATTTTTATGATGAGAATCGAGAATGAAGATGGATTAAGGGTAAATTTTGCAATGAAATGGAGTCAAATTGAGAACGGTAATCTTGGTGAAGTCTTCGGAAGGGAAAATTTAAAATTAATCTTAATTAAATAATATTTTATAATAAAAGAAGTAAGAAGACACTTTTTAAAGGTGACTAAAGTATTTTATTCTGCGAGTTTTTGTCGTCATCAAGACAAGTTCATCAGGTGAAATGATTTTATTGTACAACAAGATAGAGTGATACAACATTTTTAAACTGTGAATTTTTAAATTGGATGATTTTAAGTGTTTATTAAAACACAGTGGGGTGTCTAGTGATATTTGTAAGCTGTGTAGTGGAATCCATAACTGACTTAATACTTTTTCATTATTTTTATTAAAATACTTGGGAGATTCTACTAAGTTTTCAATACAGAATATAAGTTGTAATATGTAAAATGACAGAGACTGAGATTGTGATCATTTAAGAAAATGAATTTTTGTGGAAGAAATTGTATTGAAGATGAATGGAACAGCAATTATCCAAATTTCACATTTAAACGTTGAACTTTTAAACAGTTGAATTTTAAGAAAGTGAATTTTAAGATAAGGTTTTGTGAATTTTGAATTTGATGTCAGGTAGATGTTGGAATTAATCCCGGATATTTGATTAATAGATATTTTCCTGGCGTCTCAACCTTACTCTCGATTTATTGTCAATTAGGATCACCGTGATAAAAAGGATAACGTAGATTATTGACTGTTGTTGAGGACTTTGTGAAAATTCTCTCAATATGTGGACTAGAAAACAAGGTAAGAAAAGTTTTATATTTGATATTTATCCATACTCAATACCATCAGTTAATCAGAAACATAAAACATAAAGTGATTGTAAAGAGGTATTCTAAACTTTTTATGTATATCTGGGATACAATTGATAGCATCAATTCAGACCATTTCAATTTCAATCAGATGTCTGTGGTTTCTGCAATTCCACTAAAACTAGGTGTTTGATGAGTGTCACTATCTCAAACTATGTTTTATTACATACCATCAATTTACACCATTCCAATTTTCAATTAGATGTCTGTAGATATTGTAATTCCACTAAAACTAAGCGTTTGATGACATCACTAATAGCAAAATCTGAATATATTATATACGGCCCTTTGCGTTGGCCCTTGTCGAAAGTGACGTCATTAAACACTTAATTTCAAGGAAATTGCCAAAACCACAGACGTCTGATTGAAAATTTGAATAGTCTCCTATACGTAAACATCATTAAATGCTTAGTTTCAGGTAGATTACAAGAATCACAAAAGTTAGATTGCAAATTAAAAACCCTCTTTACAATCTTTAAACATTTCTAGATAAAATTAATCAATATTTCGGATATTTTTTTCCATTCAGAGTTGAACTTTGTATCACCTGAAGACAACTTATATTAGAAAATTTCCATATGAAATATCAACTGGTATAATAACGTTTAGCTAGGTTAAAAATAATATGAATTATAATATCAAATGTTGTATTTTGATATAAAGAAAGCTAGCTAGAAAGTGAGAATATAAACTGCTGTATTTTGATATAAAAAAAGCTAGCTAGTAAGTGATAATATAAACTGCTGTATTTTGATATAAAGAAAGCTAGCTAGAAAGTGATAATATAAACTGCTGTATTTTGATATAAAGCAAGCTAGCTAGTAAGTGATAATATAAAATGCTGTTTTTTGATATAAAGCATGCTAGCTAGAAAGTGACAATATAAAATGCTGTATTTTGATATAAAGAAAGCTAGCTAGTAAGTGATAATATAAAATGCTGTTTTTTGAT